CCGACGACAACGATCAGTTCGAGGTCAGACTGAGGTCCCTCTGGCTAAGCCGAACGTGTCCTGTATCAATTCGAGGGACTTGGAGGCTAAGACGACTTGCAACTCCGACTCTGTCGCCAAGTTTCCAGCCGAGCTTGCCTCAGCAAAGATGCCTGGATTCAAAACTCCCTTCGTCACTTCGGCCCGTAGGCCCAAGGTGTCGGCAATGCCAGCCAGTTATGGTCGGGGCTCGAACCTCGACCCGGCACTGGGTCCGCTGTCTGGCGTACAGACAACGGACAGCTGTGCCTTCCAGTCCTGTCGAGAGGGGCAGACGCGCTACTCAGCGGACTCCAGACCGCACCGATCACAAGTCCCGGCTCCAGAAGCGGGTCGTCCTTCTCCGATCAACCCCGCCAGTCGCCCACTTCACCAAGTCTGTCTTGGCCAGCATCAGGACGGCTGGTGCCCCACCCTATCGGAGCACTGTGTCCAGCCTTCCTCCCACATGTCGCACACACCCTTCGAACTGGATACCACCAGTCCGCGGCAGGACTCCTCTCCACATTTCTGCACCCCGAGGGTCGCCACGGCGCTGGCTCATCGGACCGTGATTGCCGAACCCCAAGTCCAGCGAGTCATGACGACGTTCGAGTTGCCGGCGTATGCACGATCCGCCTGCGTCTGTTTGGGTCCGAACCAGACTCCGGCAGAATGTACGGGATCCGCATGTCTGTCTATACTCACACACCCGTCACATGAACCCTTCGGCCAGCAGACATGGCCCTCATTACAATCGGATATTCAGGGTAGGTAGTTTACCAGCTTGCTCGTCTGCTCCCTTCCCCTAGTGAATGTCATAGTTCCACTTCGAGTGAGCCAATCTAGTCCCTTCTATTGTCCAAAGTAGCAATACTGAACGCGATTCTGTGCTCTACTTCTTTCGGTAATTATGTCGAGGATGAGTCCCTATTCGGGCGAACTCACTTGAACAAAAGGTGTCCCTTTTCTATCTAACACTGCCTGCGAATCCACATTTAAATAGTCTATAGGAACAGGATAACTTAAAAAACTAAAAGTATTGGAAAATTTTCTTTTTTCCGATAGGCTACTTTTGGCAAACTGTTTAAATGCGCTTTCATATGACAGATGTGACTGAAATGATGCACGAAACCGCTTGTTCCGAGGGTTGATGAAATGAATCTTCTAGAACTTA